GAATGAATAATAATAATAGATAAAGAGAAGATAGTTGTTAAGTTTCTTTTCATTCAAGAATGGTAATAATCTCTAGAATGAATAATAATAGATAAAGAGAAGATGGTTGTAGATTTCTTTTCATTCAAGAATGGTACGTTTCCCAGAGTATCTATGCCCCATTAGAAGGTTTTTTGTCTCCCTTATATACTAGAGAGAAACTCTTCTCTTTTGTCGGAAACAAAATACAAGGGATATTCAATGGAATATTCTTAACGTCCCCTAATGGGCTTACTCTACTGCAGGGGTCGTACAGTTTCTTCTTTGGCCCTAAGGTCGTCTCCCTCGGGACGTCGATTCGAAGATACCCGATCGTTTGTCGTACTCGTTGTAGGTCGTCGTGGTCGGTCAAATTTGGACCCATACATTATTATTATTATTATTATTATTATTATTATTATTATTATTATTATTATTATTATTATTATTATTATTACTTATTTTGGTCCTTAATTTAAGCATCTTAAATAGAAAAATATGAACTTTTAAGTTGCCTTTTTAATTTTATCTATTAAGATAGCAAGTGGGACCCATGGGTCCATTTGTCAAGCAATAAGAAAACCTCACATAAATATGACAAGGTATGTGAGACATAAATAAAATTTCAATTGTTATACTAATATGGTATTTAAGCGTGACACGTACTTAGAGATCTTTTCTACTTTTACATTTTTTAGTTTTTTTTGGAGAGGGTTTAGGTTTTGAAAATGGGAAAAGGGGAAGAAGGAAATGGGAAAGTTCTTTGATGATATTCAAACTCTACGCCTGATTGATTATTCAGAAAAAGGCCATATATGCCAGTGAACTAGGGCCATTTGCATCTATATTCGCTTTTTGTGTCACGTTTTAACTTGTGCCCGCTTTACAAAAAAATTGCAATCGTACTTGCTTTTTCGCATAACTTCAGCATACGGGCTGAAATAGCAAAGACAATCACGCAAAACTTCAGCATTCTAGTAACCGGGCCCGAAGTTCAGCTCTAGAGCTGAAATTTTTGTTTTGTAACTGGCGAAGCTCTAGAGCTGAAGTTTTTGTTTTTATAATTGGCTAGAGCTGAAGTTTTTTTTTTTGTAACTGGCGAACTTCAGCTCTAGAGCTGAAGCTTTTATCGAAGGAAGTTTTTGTTTTGTATCTTGGGACAATCCTGAACATCCCAATCCTTTAATTTGATTAAAAAAAATAAGCTACTTAATTTGACTCACCAGTAGCAGCGACAAGGAGAAGACAGAAGAGAAGGGCAACGAAGGTTGTGTATTTAGCCATATCTAGCTTGTTTTCCTTTTGGATTTCTTGGTGAGGAAACTGACAATAGCAATGGTGATATTTATAGCATGGTATATGTTCAACTTTGTCAACTTAATTCATTTTTTAACTAATTCAAGCATTCACATCATTATTATGTACATGAGAAAGTAAAAAGAATAAGTCTAGGTGATTCCTTCGATTCTCTATAAGATTATGAATTGGACGATGAGGAGAAGAAGAAGAAGAAGAAGAAGAAGAAGAAGAAGAAGGAGAAGAAGAAGAAGGAAAAGAAGAAGAAGAAGAAGAAGGAGAAGGAGAATGCGAAGGAGGAGGAGGAGTATGAGGAGGAGAAGCAGAAGGAGAAGCAAAAGGAGGAGGAGAAGAAGAAGAAGAAGAAGAAGAAGAAGAAGAAGAAGAAGAAGAAGAAGAAGAAGAAGAAGAAGAAAAAGAAGAAGGATGAGAAGAAGGAGAAGGAGAAGGAGAAGGAGAAGGAGAAGGAGAAGAAGAAGAAGGAGAAGCAGAAGAAGAAGGATGAGCAGAAGAAGAAGGAGGAGGAGAAGGAGGAGCAGGAGGAGGAGGAGGAGGAGGAGGAGAAGGAGAAGAAGGAGAAGGAGAAAAAGGAGAAGGAGAATGAGAAGGAGAAGAAGAAGAAGAAGGAGGAGAAGGATGAGAAGAAGAAGGAGAAGGAAAAGGATCATAAGGAGAAGAAGAAGAAGGAAGAGAAGGAGGAGAAGGAGAAGGAGGAAAAGGAGATGGAGAAGGAGAAGAAGGAGAAGGAGAAGAAGAAGAAGGAAGAGGAGAAAGAAGGCTGAAGTTATTTAAAAAGTGGGTAAAGTTATGAGTTTTAAAAAAAAGGGTAAAGGTTAAATGGGGGTGACCAAATAGGGCGCCCCGTGTAATTTTTACAGTGAACTATGCGAATTAGGACAGATATGTCCGTCGTTAATAGTTTGCACAGATATGCCCAATCAGTCAAATACTTACTCATTCATGCCCTTACTTTAATAGATGCACTATTTTGTCTTTCTTAATTAATGAATGATCAGACCCAACCCAAATCTGCTGACCCGATCCGTTCGGACCCGACCCATCCTTATTTCCAAGATATTTTTTGATATATTATTTTTGTTTGATTGAGAAATTGTGTGATAATTATTTTTATTTATTTGAGTAATTTGATAATCGATTTTTTTTGTTATACATCATTTCGGGAAGTAATCTTACTAAAAGTAGTAATTGGTATTTATTTATTATTTAAATAATATAATATTCAAATTAGTTTGTGCTTTATTCGATCATTTTACCATCTATTTTTATTTTTCTCACAATATATTATTATTTTTCACCAATACAAATATAAATAACTCCATGTTTACTATAACTTAACCTGATGGATCCATTTTTTTTGGTTTAGATAAGTGATCATTATATGATTGATTATTAATTTATTGGATTATTTTTCTGCATTACAAATTTGTTATGAAATAAGTAATAAATTGTTAAAACAATGGTGTTTCTTTTCCATTTTTATTAATTAATTATTTCATAACAAATATTATTTCATAACAAGCATCACTGTTAATTCAAATATTATATTATTAAAATAATAAATAAAAATCAGTTACTACTTTTAGTAGGATTACTTCCCGAAATGATGTATAACAAAAAAAACAGATTATCAAATTACTCGAATAAATAAATATGATCATTACACAATTTCTCAATCAAAGAAAAATAATATATCAAAAATATCTTTGAAATAAGGGTGGGTCGGGTCCTAACATATCGGGTCAACGAATTTTGGTTGTGTTCGATTATTAATTATTTAAGAAAGACAAAATAGTGATTCCGTTAAACTAAGGGCATAAATGAGCAAGTATTGGACGGATTGGGCATATATGTGCCAAACTATTAACGACGGGCATATCTGTCCTAATTCACATAGTTCACTGACATATATGACCCTTTTTTGTTGATTCTTTAAAGAGATTCAAAACGCAATTCGTCGAGTTTAACTCAAGGTGCACTTTATTTTTACGACTAAATAATATATATATATATTACTTTTATCTAGCTAATGGAGCATTAGTCATAACCAAAATTTCTCGACGGAATAAAGAAAAAAATAAAGAAGAACAAAAGAAAGATTTTTTTACTTTCTTTCAATTCAAATAAGAGAGTAAAAGACCAATTTAAAATGAATTGAACCACTTAGTTGCAACCTCAACGTCTTGACATGTGGAGTAACACATTACGAAATTTTGGCCATTGGAGAGGAGGATTTCTTAATGATTCCATTACAATAAAAAAGAAATATCAGGTCGCGAGTACTCCCTCCGTTTCAATTTATGTGAACCTGTTTGATTGAGTATGAAGTTTAAGAAAAAAATGAAGACATTTGGAATTTGTGGTCCTAAACAAGTCCAAATGGGGCCCAGAGTATTTGTGTGATTATAAAAGCTTTTCATTAAGGGTAAAGTTGTAATTTTAAGCTAAATTGTTACCAAATTTAAAAAGGGTTTATTCTTTTTGGAACGGACCAAAAAAGAAATAGGTTCACATAAATTGGAACAGAGGGAGAGAGTATATTAAATTCCAACACCAATTAAGAAGTGTTGAATGCACATGCAGCAGGCAGGTTGTAAGAATAAGAAACGCTAAAATGACTGCTCTTGATTATATTTGTCATAATAACGTAATAAATGCTTAATAATTTGGTAACTCAAAAGTCAAAATGAAACTAAGCCAAGAAAAAGTAGTAAATGTGGCAAACAACAGTAATTCAAAACTAAAAGGCTTCCAACTTCTTAGCATGGTCACAGCCGCCGACAGACTAGTAGCCTGATTGGTAAGTTTTTTTTAGGTCAAAATTACTTTTTGGCTAAAAGTTTTTTTGATAAAAAATTGAGGTGTTTGGCCAAACTTATAGAAGAAAAAAAATTACTTTTGAGGAGAAGCATAAACAATTTTTGAGAAGCAGAAAAAGGTAGCTTCTCTCCAAAAGCATTTTTCTAAGAAGCACTTTTGAGAAAAATACACTTAGAAGCAGTTTTTAAAAGCTTGGTCAAACACTAATTACTGCTCAAAAGTATTTTTTAAATTAATTAGCCAAACACAAACTGTTTCTCGCCAAAAGTAATTTTTTGAAAAGTACTTATGAGAAAAAATACTTTTCAAAATAAGCTGATTTTAGAAGCATAGCCAAACAGGCTATAGAGGGGTCACTGTTTAAGTCAAAATAATATTCCCTCTGTCCAATCTTACATGACGAGTATACTAAAAATAACTTTTTATTTCTGCTTATCACTTTACGCATATCAAACAACAACAATGATCCAGTAAAAAACTTTACGCATATCAAGAGAAGAGAATTTTTTTTCCTGTTATACCCATAATATTTATTACTCATTTTAAATTATTTTTCTTAAGTCCAATAAAATATGCATCAATTAATATGAATATCATGATAAATTATGTATTTTATTTATTATTTCTTAGGGACATAAAAAATCAAAACATGCCAAGTAAAAGTGAACGAGAATAGTTTTTACGTTTCTTTTTGTAGGTTTAATTTCTGAATTGGGCACCATCATGAGGTAGTAGCATCATAATAAAAGGGGGGAGCTTTTATTGCACAAAAGTTGGAATCCTTGATCTAACCTAACAATAAATTTCCTTTTTGAAGGCTAACTGATAGCAAGGGCCTATGACTAATCCCTCCTTTCTTCGTTTTGTTTGGCTAACTTTACCGCTATTAGTTTCACTTATATTTTTCTTTATTTATATGCCAGTGCTTCCAAATTGTGGACTGTATTTGAAATAAATTCGTGCATTTCACTTGGAGAAATTATATATGGGTAGGGTGGAGTGAGTATGACCCCAGGGGAAGAGGTGGAGCTTTCAAATTATTAATGGTTTTTAGTGCTTAGAGTTGGACTGGTCTTGGTCCAATTCCCAGAGCAAATAGTGAAAACTGCGTCAGAAGAGAGAGCAAACCTGCATTGCATACATCAATATTTGGTTTTATTCATTCAGAGAGGCATTTCTCCTTCATTTCCACCAAGGTCACACAGACAGTGTCTTTGGTTCCTCTCCCAATGCCTTTTTTTTCTCTGTATTCATTCTGACCAAACATTGGATTCTGTGACAGAGAGAAAATTATAAAGTATACTAATGCATAAAATTTGCTTTTACTAATTTCAAATATGCAATCTTACGACACATAAAACAAAAAGAATGGCTAAGCCCAAGATAAAGGGATTAAACTAAGCACATAGAATATTACACCACATACACTCTGCACCTTCTTTTGAAGCAATTTTGGTAATATTTTATGTTCAAAACCTCACAGATCCAACCCATATCACTAGATTCCCCATCTGTAAAGCTAGTTCATGGGAGAGAGAAATATGGAGATTGTATCCCTAGGGTAGCAGACTCAAAGCAAATTATGTTTCCTTTCTTAGCTTTAACGAACTAAATCAAGGTAAAGTAAACAAACCAGTTTCTCTTGCACCCTGAGAGATTTAGTCTCATGATGGTTTTCTACATGGATCAAATTAGGTAAAGGCTTTCTTGTTTCCAATGTAAGACGTACACCCTTTTAGCTATTCAAGTTCCTCCACAGTGAAAGCGAGAGTCAGGTTCTAAGTTCTGACTTAGGGAGGCCCACAGTTAGAAGATGAAGATATGACTTTCACATGTAGATTTCTTTCTGCTTTCAGAAGTCTTACTGTTACATTCATCTGCTTCTTCAAGGAGAGTGTTCCCATCCCAACCACAAATTATTTGCAACTGATTACACTCCATACCAAGTATCCAGAAACAAGATCAGTCTTTTTTCGCCTGATTCCAATCCGGCAAGTATGGTTCTACTGAATTGAAAACTACTGAAATATAGCATTTTGTTACCTCCTTGGTTCCTCAAAGCTTTTTCAGAGTGTTCAACTTCTAAGCTTTTGGAGACTCCTCATTCATCACTTTGAGAATGAATGAAGAGCAATCTCCTAAAGAGATCCCAACTGTTGATACCCAGTCCCTTACCATCAAGATTGCAAATTCGGGCGGTAAGAAGCTGGGTAAGGACATTTTCTCCACTGTTGTTCCTTCAGGTCAGCAGAAATTGGTAGCAGATTCAGCCACATCATCACCATATAACTCTCCTTCACTCATCTCTCCTCCATCTTCTGCATTTGTTTCAGCATTGCAATCACCTTACATTTCTCCAAGGGCCACTTTAGTTACAAATCCAAGTGCTCAAGAAAACCTCATTGCTCCCACCATTTTAGTTGCTAATCCAAAACAAGAAACTCCTATTGCTCCTACCTCAGTTGCCCACCCATCCCCGCCAGTGTCATACTGCGGTTCACAGTCCGATGATGTTCCCAGCACCTCCTACACTCCACCTCCAGAAAGATATGATTTTTCTGATGACCCCACCGACACAAAGCTCAAAATTGTCACCTGTGTCCCTGTTTCAGGACCAGAGACCGATCCCAGGATATCCTTTTCTTTTCCTGTCCCTCGAATTTCTTTTGCCAAGGGCTCCATTTCACCTGCATCCAATGCCAAACTTAGGAGCTGTGATGTGTATATAGGATTCCACGGTCAGAACCTAAATTTAGCGCGCTTCTGCAAGTGGCTCAAGTCGGAACTCGAGCTTCAGGGTATTGCTTGTTTTATTGCTGATAGAGCAAAGTATGCAGATAATCAGAGCCATGAGATTGCTGACCGAGTTATATGCTCAGTAACCTTTGGCGTCGTAGTTGTCACCAGTTGTAGCTTCTTCAACCATCTGAGCTTGGAGGAAATAAGATTCTTTGCGCAAAAGAAGAACTTGATTCCTTTGTTCTTTAATACGGATGCCAATGAAATTGCAAGTCTATTTAACCGAAATGCTGATGCCAAGAAATGTAAAGAGGTACTGGATGCAATACTAAAGTGTCATGAGTTTAAATTGGAGACAAATGAGAGTAATTGGAGGTCCTGTGCGTCTAAAGCAGCTGGGATATTAAGGGCCAAACTTGGTAGGAAAAGTGTTGCAGAAAAAACAGCAGAAGGGTTTGAAGAGTTGCCCTTTCCGAGGAATAAAAGTTTTGTGGGAAGAGAGAGAGAAATTATGGAGATAGAGACTACTCTCTTCGGCTGTGGGGATTCCTTTGAGCAAGAAAGTGTGGTCCCAAGTGTCAAAGGAGGAACACCAGGACAATCTGAAGGTCTAGCTGATGATGAAAGTGAAGCTGATGCTAGCAGAGGCAAATATATAAATCTAGAAATAGGAAAGAACAAGGAAACCAATAAAGAAGCTTGGGTGGAACCAATTATTGGAAGAAATTCGCTGAAGAGACTCAAGTACAGAAAATCAAGAAGCGGGAAGGACAAGAATTTGGGGGCCAGTGTTGTGTGCATAAATGGCGCCCCTGGTGTTGGAAAGACTGACCTTGCTTTGGAATTTGCTTACAGGTATTCACAGAGATACAAGATGGTCTTGTGGGTAGGGGGTGAAGCTCGCTACTTTCGACAGAACATATTGAACTTATCTCTAAATTTGGGCCTGGATGTGAGTGCAGATGCAGAGAAGGAAAGAGGGAGGATAAGGAGTTTCGATGAGCAAGAATTAGAAGCATTCAAGAGAGTTAAACGGGAGATATTCCGTGACATGCCATATTTACTAATTATAGATAATTTAGAGACTGAGAAGGAGTGGTGGGAAGGGAAGGATCTTCATGATTTAATACCAAGTAACACTGGTGGTACCCATGTCATTATCACAACACAGCTCAACCAGGTAATGAACGTTGATCCCTTGCAGCTTCAGCCATTGTCCACATCCGATGCCATGATATTGATAAGGGGAAGACGTAAAAAGGAGTATCCAGCAGGAGAGGTGGAATTCCTCCAAAAATTTGATGAGAAACTTGGGAGGTCGAGTTTTGGTCTTTGGGCGGTTGGTTCCTTGCTATCAGAGCTTGCAATTTTGCCGTCTGCTCTATTCGAAGCTGTGAATCAGGTTCCAGTTGAAGAAGCCACAACTTGCTCTAATCTGTCCGTTCCACATCAACAGTTCTGCAGAACAAATCCATTTCTAATGAAAACACTGGTTTTCTGTACAGCCCTCTTGCAGCAAAGCAACGATAGCAGGGACTCCCTTGCCTCAAGAATGCTTCAGGTAGGAGCATGGTTTGCTCCAGCACCCATCTCGGTGAATTTACTGGCAGCAGCTGCAAAGAAAATTCTTGTAAATAGAAACAGATTCAAGATGTGGACTAAGTGCATGAAAGTTGCTCTATGCTTCTACTCGGGGCATTGCCTGACAAGCCAGACATGGAAAAGTGAAGAGGAAGCAGCACTACTTCTAGTTAAACTGGGTTTGGCACGAAAAGCCAACAGGCAGCCTGGATGCTGGATCCAATTCCATCCCATCACTCAGATCTTCGCTAAAAGGAAAGATGGATTAGTTGCTGCCAAAGCCAATGTTCAAGGTGCAAGGAAAATTGGAAACCCGCTAGTAGATTCTGACCATCTCTGGTCATGTGCTTTCCTTGTATTTGGTTTCAAATCCGAACCACCAGTCATTCAGCTCAAGGCCATAGACATGGTTCTCTTCATTAGAAAGACAGCTCTTCCATTGGCAATTAGTGCCTTCACAACATTCTCAAGGTGCAACTCAGCCTTAGAACTCTTGAAGGTCTGCACAAATGTGCTTGAAGAAGCAGAGAAGTCATTTGTTTCTCAAATACAAGACTGGTGCCACGGATCTCTGTGCTGGAAAAAGAAGCTGCAATCCAACCAAAGAGTGGACGAGTATGTTTGGCAAGAGGTGACATTATTGAAAGCTACCCTGCTGGAAGCTAGAGCAAAGCTGTTACTAAGAGGAGGTCATTTTGATAGCGGAGAGGATCTCTGCAGAACTTGCATTAGCATCCGAACCGTAATGCTGGGTCATAACCATGCTCAAACTTTGGCTGCTCAACAAACATTAGCTAAATTAGTAAGGATGAGAAGCAAAATATGATCCCAAACTCTCCAGAAAGCCACACTTTTTGGTGGCTCAGTTTTGTTTATCGTGACCGTGCAATTCACTCTGTTAGTTTATGTAACATAGAAATCATCCATTATCAAGTATTTTTCACCACATCAGTTCAAGACTTATTTCGTTTCAGCAATTTACTGATTTTGTCTAGAAAATTTAAGCAATGCCACACAATCAACCTACAACATTTGCAGTATCCTTCTTGCCAGATGGACAGAATAGACATGTCTAGTGTTTTTCTAGTTGGATGAACCCATGTCTCATGGCATTTGATCACTCACTTACTACGCATCAGTTCTGTCTCATTAAGCAATTAAAAAGATTGTCATTTTAGTTATATTCACAATCCTGGAAGAAAAAAGGCAAATCAGCCATTAAAAATAGGATATTGTATTATTTTCTCAATCAACAAAAGTTCATCTTAGGAGGAAAAAAAAGGCGACCGGAACAGATAAAAATGGACAATGTTGCTCATTGAGACAATCTTCAAAATAAAACACAAAACCAGTGGCAACAGATTTTCCTGTAAACCTTATAAAGAAAAACTCTGCAAATTCAACAACAACAAACCCAGACCTTACCCCTATCTCAAAGACACACACAGAAGAACCAAACAATTTCTTATGAACACAACTCTCAAGTCAAAAATCAACTTTGAAATCAACAAAAACACAAAAAAATGTAAATCAATTAATGTTGGTGAGTCAGTGAAATTTGCGAGGGAAAAATCAAGTTCTTCTTTCAGCATTTGAAATCAAGCCAGTCGAAACGGCGTCGTCCTCATCCACAAACAGCCCTTCTGGATTCCTCAATAAGCCATGGATCACTGTCACCAAAAATCCTACCGCTACACCAATGAGCAAAGTATTTAAAATTCCTGTGAACCAAGCAGCAATTGCAGAAACAATTACGAGACCCGAAATCACAGCTAGATCGCTAATTTGGTGCCCTAGAACAACCATGGGATCCTCCCGGAAGAACAGAAGAATCAACCACATTGCAAAAACCAAACCGGCGAAAATCAACGAAAAAGGTGAGCCAATAAGTGAAGCGGCTGAGCAAGCAGAGATGACAATGGCATAGTTGACGGAGAAGTACTTGAAATTCCGGCGAATGCGAATTGCAGCATCGGAGAAGGATGCCGGAAGATCGACAGCGCTTGCTCCGGCGAGGAATTCCGGCCACGGTCGACTACGAGAAAGAAATGTAAAGAGATTGTGAATAGATCGGTTAACGACGTCACCGCCGGAAATTGGGATGGTGGTGTAGGTTGCCGGGGCCGTGGCGGTCGCGGCGGTAGTTGTTGCAGATGGCATATTTGTAAATTGGGTTAAAAGTTTGACCAGGGTGTTTTGACCAATACACAATAACTTCTCATGGGTGCACCTCGTGATGTGTCAGTTTAAAGACGGAAATTCCGTGATTGATAGTAGTAAAATAATCTTCTTTTCTTATAGCATTATTATTATTATTGTCCCCAAGAGCGGGTCAATAAAATATGTTTGAATAGTATGTTGTAACGTTTTGACTTTTTCATGTTTACGGTTACGCATCATCTTCTTTAGATATACAAGGCTAAGCAATCGATGTCCATGTAATTACTATCTGCTAACTGAGGTCCTCTTCATATACTAAACGAGCAGTGACGAATTCAAAATTTAAAGTCATGAGTAGCGCCCATTAAAATTCCAAAAAAAGAGGAATTTTTTTTAGTTGTGGGTGCTCACTCAATATTTATCTAAATAGTTTTGCAATTGCCCGTGCAAATTACTAAATATAATCAAAGTTAATGGGTGTATATAGATCCGCCAATGCAGACGAGATTGTCAGTGTCTTACGGGAAAACCAATGTCAAAAGCAATTGAGAGAACAAAAAAGAGAATTGAGAATGAAAGAAAGCTTGATTGCATTAATGAAAGCTATTACAAAAAAGCAACACGGTGTCGAAGGGGAGAGACACCAGTACAGAGAATTGTTTGCTTGCTAGAAAGTTTGATTGCTTGATCCCCTCAATAGTGCTTAAAAAAAATAAACCAATGTTACAGGACTTGACCTAACTATTCTAGAGAGGCATAATGGAAATACATGGAATATAACTACTCCATATTTACAATGAAAAGGACTTAGGTTCCTACAAAGTAGAAGCAGGTCTATTGGCAGCAACCTTGTCTTTAGCATCAGAGTCTGCGCGCGCAACACTATTTGCATATGTCTGTGGTTGGGCGCTGGCGAGGGCTATCGGTAGGGCGGCATAGGCACAAATGCGCTTGTCACTTGGCGCGGCCAAGACCACAGGGCCGACCATAGCGCTAGGCGTTGAGAGGCTTGCAAGACGCAATGGAGAGCGTCCAAGGAGTCATGGGGCATGGCTAGAAAGCCGCCCGTGACATTCTCCCTAACTTGAGTTGCCGACGTCCTCGACTCCTTACTTGCAACATAATCATCGATCAGGCTCTTGTAGGCTTTGAGGTTTGTCCCCTCTCCCAAGTATTCTCCTCTGCATCACAACCCTACCATTTCACCAAGAATTCTTGGTGATCTTTCCTTGAAGCATGAACCACTTAATCATCGAGAATAGTTTCTACCCGCCTTTTCCCGATTGAATTAGGGCCTCGAATAATGGGTATTGTGAGTTGGCTTCGTAAATGATCCTTCACATCTTCCCAAAAAGGTTTCAGAATGCTGACATGGAAGACCGGATAAATCTTCCACCAGGCTGGGGTATCCACCCGATATGCGACTTTCCTAGTGCACTTCTCAATAGATAAGGATTCAATGTATTTTTGCAATAGACGAGGATTATGGACCCCTACAAGCACACATCTCTTTGGGATTTTTACCATCACTTTGTCTCCTACTTGGTATTTAACAAAGCGACGATTTTGATCAGTATGCTTCTTCATCCACTTTTGGGCTTTTACAAGATAGCTCCGCACTATCTCCAAATTTTGCTTCCACAAATGTAGCATACTTGGAAAACTGATCCATCACAACCAAGATAGTTGTAAGATCTCCGACCTTGGGCAATCTGGTGATGAAATCCAGTGAAACACTTTCCTAAGGTCTCTTTGGAATAAGCAATGGCTCCAAAAGTTTCGCTTGTGTCAAGCGGTATGACTTGTCTTTCTAGCATACTAGGCAAGTCTTCACATACTAAGCAACATCATCAGCCATTTGAGGCCAATAATAAGCACAGCGCAACAACGCCATGGTGCGTTCTTCACCTGGATGACCAGCCCATAAAGTATCGTGGTATTCCATTAGAAGAGTCCTTTGCAGATTTCCTCCTTTAGGAACATAAAGTCGGTTCCCTTTCACCATCAAGAACCCATCTTCCATGTAGAATTGGCGAGTCTTGCCATGTCCTACCAAATCGACCAAATAATGTGTAGCAAGGTCCTTTGGGAGTAGATCTGTATCCGGTCTCTTATTTCGCTCCCCCTTAGGGTGACGAGTAAGCATACTAATGCTGAGTCAGCCCTCCAACTGAGCGCATCAACAACCTGGTTAGTCTTCCCACTTTGGAACTCTAGGTTGAAGTGAAATTCTTCTTGAAGTTCCTACCATATGGCTCGCCGACCATTCAGCTTTGGCTGGGTCATGAAATGGCTAACAACTATGTTGTCTGTCTTGACCACAAACAGGGTTCCCAACAGATAGTGCCTCCAAAGGAGTAAGCAATTGATGGCAACCAATAATTCTTTCTTGGGTGGCATAGCGTCATTTTGCATCCTTCAACTTTCTGCCCTCATATGCAACTGGATGCACCTCTTGTAGCAAGACTCCACCCAGAGCATAGTTAGAGGCATTCGTTTGTACTTCGAATGGCTTGGCCAAATCAAGAAGGGCCAAGACAAGGCTACTATACATAGCCGCTTTCAATGCGTTGAAGGCCTCCGCTCGCTTGGGACCCCAATCCCAAGGCGTGGCTTTATTTAGGAGTTATGCCAATGGCAATGCAATAAGAGAGTAATTCTTCACAAATCGCCCATAAAAGTTGCATAGGCCAAGGAACACCCTCAAAATGTGGATATCCTTAGACGGCGGCCAATCTATGACAGCCTGATGATATATCTTAGGAAATCAATCTTCTTTTGGGTGAATGCGCACTTGGACAACTTCATATATAGTTCGTGCTCCCTCAGTCGGGCTAGGACCTCCCGTAGGTGACCCAGATGTTCCTCCAATGTTTTTCTATATATCATAATGTCATCCAAGTAGACCACTACGAACTCGTCAATGTACTCTCAGAAGACTTGGTTCATCAAAGTGCAAAATGTGGTTGGAGTATTAGTCAAGCCGAATGGCATGACCAGGAAGTCGTACGACCCATATCTTTTCACACAGGTCGTCTTGTGTTCATCTCCCTCAGCAATTTGGACTCGCTAGTAACCTGTCTTCAAGTCTATTTTGGTGAACATTATAGCACCACCCAATCTATCGAACAAGTCAGCCATTAGTGGGATAGTGTACTTGTTTTTCACGGTGATTTTATTTAGGGATCGATAATCCACACAGAGTCGTAAGGTGCCATCCTATTTCTTTTGAAATAGCACATGGGACCCATAAGAGGACTTGGAGGGCACAATAATCCCCGTGCCTAGCATTTTCGTCAACTGTCTTCGAAGCTCAACGAGCTCGGCCTGTAACATTCTATAAGGCGCCCGAGAAGGTGGCTTTGCACTCGGCACCAACTCAATCTCATGGTCCATAGTGCGCCTAAGAGGGAGTCGCTTTGGCATGTCCTGTGGCATGACATTTTCAAACTCCCTTAGCATCCCCTTCACAGGTGCATGAATGGAACCGGAAGAGCGTTCAATATCTTCAAAAGAAAGAGTAGCCAGGAACGTAGGTTCATGTCTTTTAACTCCCTTCTTCAACTGTAAGTCGAGATGTTCTCTGCGACCATCTTTAATGTTGTGCATGGGATAATGTAGGGTTTGGCCCCATTGGTTCCCATTATCAGCAGCATATCTGCATAAGGTACAAGAATGGTGTTGGTTTGCTTCATGATTTCCAACCCGCTATCAGCTCGAAGTTGTCTAAGATCACCACGCACAAGTTGAATGTTCCTTCATAAGGACCCAGCCTCACTGGCACTCCTTTGGCTATTCCACCCACTGGTTGAGGCGGTGAGTTGATAGCCTTGACACGACCTCTGCCCTTTTTCCACAACTAGACCAAGGCACTCTACTTGAGTTGAGGCTAAGTAGTTGTGAGTAATGCCTGTGTCTATCATTGCCCGAATGGGCTTGCCATTTACTTTCATCTCGACGAACATTAAGGTCTTATCTTGGTTAATAGGAGTGTCACACCTCCTTTTTACCTGCGCCTGCAGGGGCGTAAGGGAGTTTTTTCCAATTAAAGGACAATCGAAACGGGATTTATTATTTAACCGAATCGAGGAAAAGATTGACTCGGTATTAAAGTCCGCGGACCAGAAATCCGGATAAGGAATTCTGTTAACCCGGGAGAAGGTGTTAGGCATTCCCGAGTTTCGTGATTCTAGCACGGTCGCTCAAATGTCATATTCGGCTTATTTATCTGATTTTAATCATGTTGAACCTATATGCAAATTTTAACTTTTTACCGCTTTTATTATTATTATTATTATTTTTAACGAGAATTGCAACGTCGTGAAAACACATCTCGAAACACGTCATATCAATGCACCCGTGGTTATTGACATATTTCGACTCCGTGGAGATTTGGATTTGGGTCACATAAATGTGCACCCGAGTTTAAGAAAGTAAATTATTAAAAGTGCGTCTAAAATGACTAGCGCGTTATTATCTTTGGGGAGGGCCGTGAAATTCACTAAACGGCCCCTCCCGAATTCTAAATGTTTCATTTTAACCATTTATTAAGGGCCCCACAATTTATGTATTTTTATTTGGTGAGGCTCATCTCATTTATTATTTAAAAGGTAAACCTAAAACCGACTATGATTTGCTATTTTTATTGAAGTCAAGCTGTGTACCTGGAATTGGAATAGAAATAAAGTAGAAGAAAGGTCAGCAGCAGCAGTAATACGAGCAACAATACAAACAGCAATCCACAAACAGTCCAGTAACATATGCAGCAAACCCAGGTGAATTTGAAGCCAGTCAAAACCAGAACACTCAAACTTAAACAGCTCAAACGACCTCAAAAATGAAATCAGAAAAACACACCACTGTAACACTACACCCAAACTCAGCTCAAGCTATCTCAAAACCTTTGAAATCTCGACAACAACAAAACTCAATCAAAAATCTATTCAACTTTGATCAAAATTACTCAGCATGAAACTCTAAACCAATGTAACAACATTTTTTTTATGGAACCGTAGCTCCTTGCACAGTTGAATGCTATAACTTTTAAGAATATTATCTAAGACCCGGCTTGAATGCAACAGTAGAACCCAAGTGTGTATGTCTATATTCTCAGCCTATTTTTTTCCAGCCCCCCTCTGTTAAAAAATGCCCCCCATTTATATGCAAACTACAATCCCTTTTACAGCTCTTAGGAACACTCAGACCCATTAATTA